GAACGGCGTTTAACGATCCGGAAAGGTTGTAAGTGTGGGGATTAAAGCGTGTATTCGTGCATGCGGCCGTGGCGAACCAGTGCGCGGCGGCGGCACTTTCCTTCCTTCCATTCGCACGCCCTTCGGAATGACACGTTGGGAACGGAGCCAAGCCGATTCTAGAACGGCGTCGTCTATGTAGCCGCGCCCTTCCAAATGGGAATACTTCTCCTAGGTTTTAATTTAAGTTTGAATTTCAAGGAAAATAATCATCCGGGCGGAATAGCGTGAAACACGGTGGGTTCGGCTGGGGATTAGCATGCCGTGTACGTGCACACTTCCCGATACGTCGAAAGGTTGACGGTATCGTCCGTGGAGAGACTGACGGGATCTGTTGCAACGCGAAACCCACTTTTCGGACGTTCGATATTTCGCGAAATTCGACTATTCGGGGGAATTCCGACTTTCCTAACGCTTTCGTGTAATTTCAATTATTCGTACGCCGAAAGAAAAATATCCGAAAAGAAATATTTGCTCGGTGGATACTAATAACAAATTTATATTAATGTATGTGTCTTTATATATACTACTTATATATACTATTAGATATATTTATATTAATGTATATGTCTTTATATATACTGAGAAAAAATTTATTCCAAATAACGTAATATATATTTTCTTAAATCCCTTGTTCTTCATGAAAACAATTGTTTATTCAGGGTGCCTACTGTCTGGAAAAACCTGGAAAACTTGAAATTCTTCGGGAACTTTAACGGAACTTTAAATAGACATTTGCATGCAAGTTATATTGTGTCCTTCATAGACAAATATTGGTTGACTGAATTTTATTTAATAATATTTTCTTCATCAAGATGTTTACAGCACACTGATTTTACGACTAATCCGATATTCTGTATTGAATACAACGATGCCTGGAAAGTCAGTGAATTCTCAAGGAATTTTTTTTGGAAGTTTGGGTAGACACTCTATTGTTATATTTAAATCAAAGAATTTAGATTTAAGTAAGTACGCTATTAGAACCCACCGAACACTTTTTTTATCCTTTAAACATTTTTTTCTCCCAGTGTAAGAATTGACATTTCGTCATTCTCGCTTTTTCTTAGGGATCTTAAACTTTACTTTCACACTTTTCTAAGAAGTAGTAAATCAATGACAAATGAAATGAATAATTCGGGAAGGAAATCTACGTTGTTGAGAGAAAAGCGTATTTCCCTATTTGAAGAATCAAAACGGACGCGCGTAGAAATCCGCGAATCCCCGTCATGTTGCGCGGCACTTGAGACTGCAAGTAAAACTGCGTCCCGGATTTCGTCAGGAATTATAGATCGCCCGAAGTGGGCCAAGCAGCGCGTCGAAATACGACGAGAAGCCCGACGACGCGCGCTCTGCGCTCTCGAGCCCGCTAAGAAAGGAGGGCGCAAGAAAAGATCCGCCGTGGAAAGCGCGTAATCGGCGCGGAGCATCGATCGATTCGCTGATTCGCCAGATTCGTGCGTATTCACTCGCACGGAATACGCTCGCGTCCTCTCGTTCTCGAGCAGCCGGGGACGTAGCTTTATCTAGGCGCCCATCATTCACGTTAATTCCACTTAAGCACCGATGCACCTGGCTCGCGACCTCCACGAGAGGCCGTGAGGCACTCGGCAAAAATGAAGAGACGAATGCCATGCAAACCGAGCGTTCAGAGTGCTGCACAAGGGCACCTTATGCGGCGGCACACAGTGGAACCGAGCGGCCGACGAACGCGCAGCGCTATGTCTCGGCCGAATCAACAGTGTGTATGTGTGCGCTTGCACCGTAGGAACCGGGAACAAACGGCCCACTAAATTCCCCCGATTTTTTCCCCCGGCCCCGGCAGCTCGAATGCGGATTATTTATTCGAGCGTCGCGTCGTGATTCGATGCACACGAAGTCTCACGGATCGACATGAGAGGTTACGCTGACAGTCGTTGTCTGAAATTGATGTGAGGTACCGGGATTTGAATTTAGCACGGAATCTGCACCTCTCGGGCTTGAAGTAACGTGACGCCGATGATATTGCGCGTGATAATTGCGATTTCGGATGCGTAGAGGGAAGTATTGTTCTAACCGCTAAGGAAAGCGATTAACTTCGTTGGACCCTCGCTAGAACATCGGATTAATTTGGACTAATTAAAGATTAAACATTCATCGGATCTAATTTTCGTTAGTAAGGGAATATTTTCTCGCAAGGTCTTGCGGGCACGCGGGAAAACGTTATCTCGAGCACGAGCGCGAGGCACGAATGCTGCGTTAGAGCGCGGGCGCACGCGCATTACCGCGGGTCGAGATTATCCTCAGACCTAATGATTAATTGTACGTCGCGATTGATCTAATCGCCGGCCTAGAAACGAACACCGTGTCGCGGACACAATCGGCCGAGCGGCCGAGCGAGCGAACACGCGGCCCGGTTAGAGGTTGGCTGCACTCTATGACCTTAATTACTGTGTCGACTAATCGATCGCGCGCATTGTGATCGCACTGTGCTCCGACACGGGTATACCGGCATACGTAGCCGCTTTGCGCTGAATGGCGTCTTAATTGCCGGCCGGATAATCCGATTCAGCCACTTGATCGATTATGTCCGGAGCCGATCGCACTCGCGAATTCTAATTGGGATCGACTGTCTATCGATACGCGCGATCGAAGGATCTCTCTCTCTCTCTCTCTCCCTCCCTCGATTTTTGTTCGAGAGATTATGTACGCACGAGCGGACACTGCGGACTGCGCGCTGCGTTCATCTCGAAACGAGGACAACGATATTACGATGAAACAAAAAGTCATCGGGAAGCATAGAACGACGCGGCGGAGGACAGATTGTCATTGTGAAATTATTATCGTTATTATTATTGTTATGATCATAATGCGATCGCACCTCTGTTTCCATTATGTTAATTATACAGTAATATCGCCTCGCCTTTCGGGTGTAAAGCCTATTGTATGTATTATTTCACTTGCGTATACATCTGTCCCGCAATAAAATGAATATTATAATTTGTTGTTTGTTATTATTATTATTATTATAAAACAACGTGAGTGCTCGGTTTCCCGTTGGAATGAAATTTTGCTCTGATTTCACACATTCGTACTGTTCAATATGTGTACGTGTGGGTCGTTTTACAAATTGAAAGTAGTTAGTCCGTGATAATACTGTTTAAAAGGTAATAGTTAAAAAACAGATAAATCTGTGCTAAATGATTATAAATGTGACGCATGATATATAGATTTGACACTATAATAAGAGAATATTAATCAAATTTATATAATGTTCAAAAACTCACAAAGAAATCATTGTTTTTCGCGCATTGACGTATAATACCTTCGGCTGGCACTGTTAAGTATATGTTTGCGAATATATTATATACATCCCCCTCCCCCCAGATAGACGCACACGAATGCATGCCATTAGAGAAATGATCGTGACGTCGGAATTTCTTTGATATTTTCCTGTATTTTTCACATTTTCACGTATTAACGTGGATCTTTAAAGCTATTTGACCGTTTTATCTTTAAAAAAACGCTCACCAATCACAAAGAGAAATAATGCGTGCAATATTATTAAATCTTTACAGGTTATCTGTCATACGCTTCAGCCGTTATCAGAAATTGTGTACTTTACATATCAGTTCCAACTTTAATTATTGCAACATCGGATCAATCCTACTCCAACTCTACACGCATGGAGACCGCGTCTCGCTTAATATGCCGTTGGAATTTGAAAAGAAAATTTTTTAGAAAATCAACTTACGGACCAACTGCTTGAATAAAATAAATCCAAGTGGATCCTCGCCGAGAGATCGACTGGACACACTTGTCCGGCCGTTTACGAGGGGCCCGAGAGGTGCAGCTGATCTCGCGCTGCCGGAGTATCCGCGATAAATTCGAATTGCCCTCGAGATCCACGAGGGCCGCGATCGTGGCGCGGATACAAAACGTCGGACCCATCCTTGCCGGATATTTTCGTCGCACGATGTAACGAGTCGCGACGACGAGACACAGAGAGGGAGAGAGAGAGAGAGAGAGAAAGAAGAGCGGTGGTCCTGTCGAAAACCCGGCGAAGATAAGCATCGCGGCGGTAGCGACCGGCGGTAGTCGAAGAAATCTCCCGAACCACCCCCTCCGTTCCCTACAGTCGTTAATTAGCCAAAAAGTGAGGCCCTCGTACGGCTGCCGTCTGTGGAGCAAGGGAGAACAGAGGGGCGTGGGAGGGGAGGAAGATTCCCCTCGCTTTTCTTTCCTGTGCGCCGTACGCGCCACGACGTGAATAAACTACATACAGTCCTTCCACTCCTCCCGCCCTGCGAACCCCCTCGCAGCCCGGAGACTATCATCCGGTGCGTTCGGGCTTTTTTTTCCTTCTCTCTCTCTCCCTCTCTCTCTTTCTATCGCCCCTTCGGAGAGGAAAAGAGAAGAGAGAGAGGGAGAGAGACTAAAGAGACTGCTGCCCCACGGCGTCGTTCGCGGTTCTTTCTCTCGCGACTCCTCCGATCCATGGGGCCCTGCACACTCCTTTTTTCCGTCCGGCTCTCCCCACCCTCTCTCTCTTTCTCTCTAGAAACGGCGAACGGCCGATCCTAATCTCGATAATGACGCGTAATGGCTGCTGGCGTGAATGTAGCTCTTTGTCCACGGGGGCTCCTGCACCGGTCGTATATCTGTCCGGCGCGGGAACCGCGCCATTTCACCCCGGCAGAAAAGCACGGGGAGGCCGAAACGGCAGAGGCCGTTCCCCGGCTTCTTTTTCTGCATCCTCCGCGTCGCGTCGGTCCTTCTCCTCCTCCCTCCGCCCCCTCGCCGAAGCCTCGCCCGCGCGGCGATCTCCACGGCTGGCAAGACGCCTTCTCGAGAATCACTCTCTTAATCACTCTCTCTCTCTCTCTCTTTTTCTTCTATGCAACGTTGGTACAAGCGAGAGTCGCTCGTACTCCTCCGTGTGTGCGCGCGTGTGTATGTAATTTTTTGGAACTTTATTTTCGCAGGAGCGGTTATGAGAGTTCGATGACCAGCGGCGCGCGGACCATCGACGCTACCATGGACTACCTGCAGACGTGCCTCATCTTTTACCTGCTGATCCTCTGCTTCTGCGGCGGACGCTCTATAGACATATGTGAGTAGACATGTCAATCCGACTTAAGGAGACTGGTCTCGGCCTAAGTAGCCGCGTGCTACCTCCGGTGGCATCTACGTGGCTGGAATCTCTCAATCGGCGCTGATGACGGCTCGAGTACCGGCCCGATCGCTTCGCTTCGATTATTCAATTAACCAATCGCTGATATTCGGTCGCACGGAGACACACTTTTGCTGGCAAATTAGTCGGTTACCATAAGCGGCAGCAACGAGACTCGTCACCCGGAAAATATGTAATTTTGCGGTCGCGGCAAAGCGTCGACAGCAGCGGAATTTAGTTGGCGTAACCAAATTATTTTACCGCCGATATATCCAGCAAATAAGAATGACGCTCTCAACAAATCGTTTTGCTGTTCATCATAGCAACTGATCGTTCGCTGTATCAGTAAACGATTTTATTCCGTGCGGTTTGAGTCGCGGAAGTTCGTTCCGTTTTTTTTAATCAAGATGTACATATAACATTTATTTATCGTTAAACATGAACAAATCGGTTAAATGTGCGCCGTTTTGTTCGATGACTTGCTATCTCTCTCGCTCGCAGAAATTCCGGGATCTTTTCGGGCGAAATCGGGGTCTGGCGGGCGGGAATTTCAGTTGGACGCGATAGAAATACGTGTTTACATCCCTCGGCCATAATTCTACCCCCGGAGGTGGAAGAACCGCGGGGTGCACGCCTTACCTCCTCCCCGTCTATCCCGCGGTTTCACCCGATAAAAACAGCGAGGCATCCCGGTTTAGTCTCCCTCTCTCGTAGATAGAGAGAAAGAATAAGAAAGAGAAGGAGAGAGAGAGAGAGAGAGAGAGAAAACCGCATTGCCCTTTGGCGCGCATTAAACCTCGGGCTCGGTTTCTACTCGGCTTGGTTTCCATCCCATTGACTCCGAGCAGCCCGAGCCACCCTCGTGTCAGGTAAACAGGGCGAGAAACTTGCAAAGTATCCGCCAAGAGTTCCCAAGTCAGCCCCGGGAAAGGCTTTTAGGTACTCGTTCGTGAAATCGAGCTCGAAACTTACGTATACGAGACGTATTTCGCACCCGAAGAATTTCTCGAGCGCCGCCGAAAGATGGATCCCGCGCGATATAGTCTCACTTTCTGCCCCTCTTTCTGTCTCCCAATTCGTCATGCATCTTTCTCTCTTTCTCTCCTTGCTCTCGGACGAGCATAGGTGAGTATAAACGCGACTATCGCGCGCCTGTCGGATATACCGAAAAATGAGTTCGGTCGGATCTACCTGACAACGGCGAATCAAACCGTGTTTTCGTTGAGGGAAATAAAATTCTCAGTTCTCACGAACTAAATCTGGTTCTTACGGCCGGAAATTCTGTTCTCTTCAAGCGCAACGCGCTTAGTTGCGCATTGTCGAGTGAGTGGATCCAACTAAACTCGATAGTCAATAATATACACAAGATAAACGATACATCAAAATATAGTACTGAGCATAATAAAATATAATATCAAGCAGTACTCCGACTCATTTTCGCGCGTGCTTCCGCCGTGCAAAAGCACTTATAATTCTGTGCGGCCAATAAGACGGCCAGAAATACTTTGCCGGAAAAAAGTCAATATCTTGCCGATAAAGTTCTCAAGTATGACGTCCCCTTCAAAAAGAGTAGACCTCGCAAGCGCACGCGCCGTCTGAGCGAGTAACTGCCTCTCATCGGCGTCGATTGTCGACGTGACGTTGTGTTAACTCGTGGAAGTTCTCGCGAAAGGCCCGCCACCCCGAAAGATTTCGCCGTCTGATGAAAGTTAAACGAGCTCGGCCGAGTATTATAATTCGCCGATGAGTCCTTGACAAGTTTATCGTCGATAACACTATAAAGTCTCCGCCGCGAGAGCGGCGCGCAGATAATCGGCTTACGCTCGAACGCGCGGAATACATTCGGAGCCCGCGCGAGAGAGAGAGAGAGAGAGAGACGGTCATTACTAGTGCGCGTACTGATTCGGGAGAATCGCGAGGGCACGACGTTACCTTGCGAATTGTGTTCAGGGCCTATGAACTGCACAAGAGGCGCCCATAGTTCTACCTCAAAAGCCGATACTCGGCTGCGTCGCGCACTCTTTGATCCCCGCTCCCGCTCGTGGCGTACCTGCACCGTATCCCGCGTGCGCGCACACCATTATAATCCTCGGCAGCGCGAGTACGTGGCGCAGTTCCCTAATTAAATCCCACCTGGCTATCAAAACAGCCCGACGTAATACCTCGAAATAACAAGCCCTCGGAATCGCGCCGATCCGGCCCGACGAGATTACCTGTCGGAAAGAATTCCGGTCTTCCTTTCTCTCTCTCTCTCTCTACCTTTTCCTTCGTCTCCGGGTGAAATCTAGCGCGCCCGCGCGCTTCTGCGCCACGCTCGAGAGTGACAATCCGTCGATTAGCCCTGAAATACCATAGGGATCCGTAGGATCCAATTTTAACTCTTGACTTTCTTTTTCCGGTCATTTTTACTTCTCTCTTTCTCTCTCTCTCTCTCTCTTTCTCTGAAGTTTCTTCTCCTGGACAATTTTAACTCGATATTTGAGATTCTTGCGAAGAAATACTATTTAATTTCCAGATGAGAAGAGAGCGAAGGAAAAATATTAATTTTTAAATAATCTTATTTAGGGAAAATTTTCATCTCCAAATTATAAGGAACTTAAAAGATTTAATTTTAAAGTAAAATTCTAATTTTTAACTATTAATATTAATTTTTTAATATAACTATTATTATATTAATATATATTTTTATGTTTTCTTTATAGTATATAACTATTGTTAGAAAAATCTAACTATTTATAAGGATCGATATTTTGGGATTATTATTCTTTTCAGAGATATTCTAACTCGAGAAAAACTTAAGCGTATCGAAAAATCAACTGACGCTGAAGATTTAACGTAAAATTTTTCATTCTCTTTACCAATAATGTTCTTTTGACGCTATAAATGGAAAGTTATCGCCGTTTTCCCCACTTAAAGACTTAACATAGAACTAAGTAGACTTAATGTAGAGCCACAATTTCGACTCGGAAAGTTCACGTACCGTTCGACAGAGTTCAATATTTCATAGCCGAGGAGCATGTCGACTTTCCCTACCTATGTCAGTTTCGATGCTTTTCCCTCTACCCTTTTGCCCACACGCGATAACGACGCGAAACCGCATCTCGAGATCGCTGTTCGGCTGCCACCGGGGGACCTTGTTCGCAAGACCGGAAGATCCACAAAGTTCCTCGCGGGAAGAACTTCGTGGGCGTGGGTGGCGGTAGCGCCGAGAGGGGGTGCACGTCGACGAGCGGCGTCGAAATATATAAATAGCCGTGGACGAAAGCCGGGAAGGCGACCGAAAAGGCGGACGATCGTCCCCTCCCTCCCCCGTTCCCCCTCCTCCGGTAACTGAACTTGTGCATCGGGACTGCGTCGGTGAATTCGCGGTCGTGTTAAGCGAGCGCGGGTCGCTCGTTCTCTCGCCCGTGGCGAAGGCTGGCGGGCCAGCCGGTTAAAGCGCGCATAAATTGCGATGTTAATGTTGCCGGCGATAAATAAACATGTTGCACGTCGGTCGGATTGCGGTGTCCGCTTGCTGCGCTGCGCAACCCTCTCTAGGCGGGCGCGCTCGAGCCGTAGGGGTGTGTTTGCTTTCGTATGTCCGAGGGCGAGAGTAAGCGATGGTGCGTGCGCGATGGCAGGACGACGCACGCCCTTCCTCCCCCCCCCTACCCTCTCAAACGCCGGGGAGAGTCGTGCTTTGCGCGTTTGACTACGTGTGTGTGCGTTTCGCTGTTGCGTACTTAATTGCGAAACGACGCGGGTCGTTGTGTGGCTGCGTGCGTGCGTACGTGCGTGCGTGCGTGCGCGCAGAACGATAGGTAATTGTACGGATGTGTCATCCGGCGGGGACGTGTGTATCTGACGTAGCGAAATTTAACGCACGCGACGCACGAGGGATCGCTTTTTCCGCGTTCCGCGCGCGGATGCGACCGACGGCGAACACGATGACGCAGCGCGTAGATGGGAAGATGCGGGGACGCGTCGGAAGAGGGGATTTGTCGTGGCGAATCCCGGAATTTTTTGAAACGTGTATATCGTACTTTTTATATTCACTGTTATCTTCTCGTCGGAAAGCGTATCGGAAAGTATTAGGGAATAAAATCACTTTTCGATATTTCCTTTGTTAATGTTCTCCCGTCTCTCTCAGGTAATAATTTTCTTTCCTGATGTAAAGAAGAAATCGTAGAAATCCGTCAAAATTGTCGTATTTGGACCGATTTCTGATATTTTTCAAAAACATACTTCGCCTTCTTGTTTCTTATTCTTCTTGTTTCTACAATCATCCCGATCGAATTATCGGAGAGCAAAATTCGCGCAATTAAAATTAGAAAAGGGACCGCTTCTTCGTTCACTTCACAAACATTTTTTCATAAAAAAACCCCTGTGTAAAAACACAGGGTAGGTGTAGATGTGTTATCGCACGGCTGTCATGCCGGATAAATAACGAACGCGATTTCAATCAGTCGCGATTATGCGTTAATTCGCCGTGTTGATAACTATAAACTGACGTATGCGCCAACTAACGAAGTGAGCGAATATACGCACACGTCCGTACGTATGTGTATGTATGTGTATGTGTGTGTGTGTGTGCGTGCGGAGTAGTAAACGCGAAAGCGTCACGCGTTCGCGTGTGCTTCGCCGCTCGCACGGATCGAAAGTGCGCGCAGACTGTGAGCTAGGTAGAAATGTCGGGAGTAGATGGGAGAACAGCGTCACGCGAGAATGAGAGAATCCTTCCGCCGTTATGACATTGTCATCCCTCCGTTATAACTCCCTCGCGCGCTTCCCCCCCCCCCTCCCTCCTTCCGCTCTCCTTTCCAATTATCCACGGATCCATTAGGGGCTCCGGCATGCAACGACGAACGGTGACGAAATTATTGCGGGCAGCCTTCAACATATTAACATAACAATGCGGCAATTAACGCGTCATTGCCTCCCTTCGTCCACGCGCTGTC